AATTAGCAAGAGTTACTACTTGGAATGTCTTTGTTCTGCTTCTCAAGGCTGGCTCATATTCCAAGGCTTTTGCCTCAGATTTGCCCTCCACTTTCTGCACCCTCTTGAGTGAAGGATCCCCAAAATGTTGGCAGTCTAGTCCAGCCTTTATCTTAGCTCCAAGGGAGCTCTGACCGCACAAACCATATTGCATTGTCTCTCTTATTTAAACTTCCCTCCGTACACTTGTCCATAAGATTGGGAGACTGACCAGCTTCCGGTAGAGTCCTGTGAGTGGTCAGTCTGGTTATTAGTTCCAGGGCTTACCCGGTCCTTACTCCTATGAGATTGTTGCTCTATTACCTGCACATAGTAACTGTATATAACATAGAGGGGGAAGAGGGAACCAACAGAGACCTCCAGGCTTGTGTAAAGGCAATATGACCCGGAATTTATTGTGCCTGGGTACAGGCAGAGAGCACCATATGACCTTCTGCTGCAAACAAAGAAAAGTGTGTTCCTATTTACAGGGATGGAGAGAAGGTAGGAGGAAAGATCCCAATAAGCATCCATGGTCAAAGTTCTCTGGCAGTCTTGCATCTCAGTGGGCAGAGTCCTTGAAGTATCTAAAGTGATTGATGTAAATTCTCATTCTTGGATGTCACCAGTTGTCCTAGGTGCTGTAAAATTTCTTGTTCTATCTCATCTCCTTTTCTGTGCTTGCTGTCACAGGGAACTGAGCTGTGTTCCCTGATGAGAGCTGAGTTTCTTGCCAGAATAGTGCTTTTGCTGGCAAGCAGAGTAGGGACTGGGGAGTCAGGTCTGATTCAAACCTTGCCATACCTATACATAGTAGATGCCATCACCATTGACCCTGTGGTCCTGCTGCAATCCTGCACCTGTCATTGACAGAGGAGAGCTTGATTCTGTGCCTGGGAAATCTATAACCTTCCCCCACTTCCATGAACCCAAGGCCATCATAGATACACTCAGTATCCCTTCTGCAGGACCCACTTCCTGGCCGCAAAGTGCAGGAGAGAAAAAGCCTAGGGTCCACGGGGGGAGAGTAGGTCCACATCCATAAGGAAAAGTGCAACTTGCCTCTTCCATTTCCATCATCTTTTTATTTGTCGTGAGTTCGCCAGGCACAGTCTAGCTCCCAGGAAGGGAAGCACTGCTGTGATTCCCCTTAATATGCCCTCAGTGAGGTCAGCTTTAGGCCCTCCATGTGAATCTTTTTTCCTTCAAAGAGAATGTAGAAAAATTAAGGAAGAGACAAGTTGGCATACATGTTGGCTGCAGAGACAGAGAGAAAGCAGGTGGATACTTTGGGAGGAGCCTAGTTGAAAAGCTGAAGATGGAACATGGTGAGTTCCCATATTCAGCCAGTTTCCCAGGTCCTGCATGAGATTGGGGTGTTGGAGTGAAGGAAGCAGGGTCTGTGCCCCCGAGGAGCTTCTCATCCAGGAGGAAAGAACGAAAATAGCTGCTGCCAGACAGAGGCATCTCACTGCAGCTGAGGCTTCACCTTGTGCAGGGCTTGGGGAACAGCTGCTCAGAAAGTTCTGGGTAGCTGAGTCATGGGGGAAAGTGAGAGCATCCTAGATTATTCTAGCAAGAAGGGAGAGGGCAAGGAAAAGCTGCAGACAAGGAGGTGAGAGGGAGGTGGGAGAGGAGTCCAGAGTATCTTGTGGGACATGCAAGGTGTAGACATTTATTTGAGTGTCCAGAATGGGAGATATGAGAAGGACGTGCCAAAGGATTATAATTGATCTTTTTTTCTTTCTCTGTTGCAAAAACATTCTTATGAAGTATAACTTGGTTTCAATATTATTAGTAGAGAATATGTTCTACAAAGTGGAGGTAACTGAATGTAAAATTCTGGCAGCAATGTAATAGAACAGTCCCAGATTATTAGGCTGAGGCCAATACCTAATGAGGACAAAAGCCTTGTCTGTGGGGAATTTTGGACAATACCTGCAGAAATATTACACTGTGCATACACCAGATTGAATTATTTTCACAAGTGTTGTTAAGTTCCATATAGTACAAGTTTTTTTCTACATGCACTTCAATTTCACAACAAGAGTGGCATAGAATACCTAGACAAAGAAGAGAGCATTCGTGCAAGATTATCTAACTCCTTGATATAATAATGCAAACACTTCAAAATGATTACACTATCATTACATCTAGGGCTTTCTGCAACTACAAGGTGGCGGTTATGGAAAGCATGGCCCCTGGTATCAACATCTAGAAAGCAGCCACCACCTTCTATGTGTGTTCTCTTTTTGCATTTTTTTCTTTATTTTTCTTAATCAACTCTGTTGCTGTTGCTGCTTCTTAGCAAAACTGGTAAACACAAAGTTGTAATCATTGAACATAGCCCTCTGACAATCAAGACGTTTAAAACCTTCAATTTTCTGGGGTGAAGAAAGCACTGTGTGACATTTAGAACTCTGACTGACAAACAAGGTGGTCACAAATTCTCCTGGCTTGAAGACTTCCACAACTTTCCTGATCAGGTCATCATAGGAGGTCTGACTTAAGTTTGCGTCAAAGCTAACATAAGAAAACTCTGGTTCTGGAGTGATGTGAATAGTCCAATAAGTTCCATCCGATTTCATTACGTTCATTGAATACCCACAAGGATTGAACAGTGTGGCGTCAATGACAGAACCTGGTATCAGGTCATGAATTCCACCCTCACGAGTGACATCCTTTGCAGTAATACCATCTTTCATGAAGAACTGGTCCATAACTCCTGTGTCAAGCTCACTCATCAGAATTTCCAGGGTCTGATCTGGTTGGCTGATTACTCGACTCTCTGGGAAATCCAGAGTACACAAGTACCAACAGTCAGAATTCATACGTCCCATACGATATGCTGCTCCATTTGGGAAAATTGCATTAAGAAACTCTATTTCTTCCTGGAAATTCCAGTGTGTGTACCCTTGGTGAGAAGGCTTCATGAAATTCTTGCGAGAATAAAAGAAGCTTTGAATCGAATCAAACCCACTGTAATCCCTAGCAAGCTTCAACAGGGAACCAGTGCTTTCAGTAAGAGGGTGGTACCCCGTGTCTTCAAAATGAAACGTCGCTTGGAGACAAACATGCTACTCTCATTGAGTACATAAGCTTCCTGCTTGTCAGTTTTTGTCACACTTATGATTGAACATTGCACATCTTTCAAAAGTATATCCCACTCAGATCTCAGGATAGTGCGAAGATCCCCAGATCCCTGGTTGGCGTCAGGTTGCTGACGGGAGAACCAAACCTCCAGCAGCTTCTCAGTCCCTTCGAAAAAATGTGCAGCTTCCATCACCGTGAGACTAGCGAACAACCAACAACCACAGAAAATCAACTAAATTAAATCTCTTCTCCCGCCGCTGCCACTGCCGCTGCGGATTGCTCCAGCTGTGTTGCTACAAAGTTCACGTTCCTTTTTTTTTTGTTATAATTTTATATTAACTTTTTTAAAAAAAGGATTAATAAAATTTTCCCGGCTTTTTTGTGAGCGAAAGTTGAACGTGAGTCTCTTGGAAATAGAGGCAGATACAGTTCAGTCTCTTGTAGTCCGCTGCTTCCCTGTTAAAGAGAGTGGAGCGAGCGCTAGCTAATGTCACCGGTCATACTGTGTAAGCCTAATTGATTTTGATATATTAGATTCTCCAGCACTTCCTGGAAGAAGGGTCAGAGAGGATAAGGCTACATGCAAGTCCCAGGTCATTTAGCATTTAATGAAACTCCCTTAATTCAGACATTGTCCACGGCTGTGTTTGAACAAGAATTGAAATCTCCAGGGCTTTTATTCTATGGCAGTATTCAAATACATGAGTGTGGACAATTCCTAAGAGTAAGATTATCCTGGACAGCTGCCTAGAAGAGGTGATGCCTTAAAGATGCTCACTGGCTGTGCGTGTCCAGGGACTGCAGCAGCAGTTCTGTGTGAGGTGTGCACATGAGTGGACAATGTGGGCAGAGAGTTGGTGAGCCCTGGGTGCTACAGGGAGCAACTGGAGGTCAGAGTCAGAGATGACCCTGACACACGTCACAGTCTGATCTGCTTTCCCACAGCCTCCTCGATACCCACAGTGAATGACAGATGGGGTGGGAGAGGCACTGGATGGCTGCTGCCTGGACAGCAGGGAAGGGCAGGGATTGAGAGACGTTTATAGGCTGATGTGTGATGGAAGTGTGTTCAGACTCCCACAAGGAGTGAACATGTGCAGGTGGTGGTGCCAATGAACAGGGCAGAAGAAAAGACTGGGATCTCCAGACACCACTGCCCCCTGAGCTCCGGGATGCCCTCCACTCCAGAAGGTGGAACTCACCTCTTGAGCAGATGTCACTAAGGTCTGAGGTGACATCGTTCTGGTTCATGGGATAGCTGACCACACAGCTGAGGCTGACATTGGCCTGGCTCAGGGGCAGGCTCACAGTCTGGAGTCAGGTGTAGAGGTCTGGTCCTGGTGTCCCTCTCTGACCTAGCTCTCTGAGGAGGTCCTTGCTTCTCCTAGGTCATGTTAGGTCCTGTGTGGTCCCTGTGTCCCTGCACTCCTGAGGGACATTTCACCAGCCTGGCGATGGACAGTATCTTGGCTAAGATCTGCAGAGGGGACACGGGTGCTGGGAAAGAGGGGAGAAGGAAGAACCTCACATGTCACGCATTCTCACTGTCTCTCTGCAGCCTGTGCAACTGCCCTATGAGAAGAGGGGAGGGAGCAATTTACAAATAAAGCACAATTTGCCTCAGTCTAAATGGTGAGCAAGTCACAGTAGCCACTGACTTAAGCTTCATGTCATTTTCCTAATGAAGTAAGTCCTAAAACTTTCCCATGAGAAAAACATGCCTGGATGCCCCTTCCATGGGCCATTATTCCCAACAATTTGAGGACTTTTCTGGAAGGGGAAAAAGTCTGAGACAGAAGGGCTCATCTTGGTCCAGCACCCTCAGCCTGTATCTCTAGCCCAGACACTGCTTGGGACAGCACAGGCCTCCCAGAGCAGGTCATCAGGACATCTCTGAGGACACAGAAAAGCTCTATCTCTCAAAAGCAGAGACATTTACGAACATGCAATTGTTATGACTGGGGTGACAGCTTTGTACATGGTTAGAAGGTGCCAGGAATTTGAAGACCAGAGTCAGGCTCACAGGCCAGCC